CGTTATTTTGCCGAATAATTCATCAACCCATTTTTCAACATGTGCCGCTGGCAGGAACGCAACAGATAGTTCATCATCACCTGAAAATTTATGAAATATAGTACAGGAGTTCTCACTGACAAAAATTTGAAAAACTGTTGAGGCTGGTCAAAAACAGGGAAACCCGCCATGGGCCAACTGTATCTGAGACAACAATGGAGGTGGTTAGAACTCTATGGAGGTACTAGAAAGTGGTTTGAGTAGTAGTAACTGCCAAAACCAACTGCCGTGGAAAACCCATGAAAAGCTAATCAAGAAGCCGCCACAAAGAAGAAAGAGAAGAAAATAAAGATGTATCTTGCCTTGAAAGGTAAGATACATCTTTATTAGATGTATCTTACCTTTCAAGGCAAGATACATCTTACATAGTAGATGTGTTGCCAGGTTGAACCTGGAGCACAAGGACCGGTGGCGGAGTGGTAACACACTGCGTCCGAATGTGAAGAGGATTGGTTCGATTCCCTCCCGGCCCGGAAGAATTTTCGAGAAAGGGCTCCGTTTACGATACCAACCATCTTTGGTAAAGCCGCCGATGGTTTTCCTTTCATGAGTTGCTTAGAAGCAAACTGATATAGGTTAACTTCATGGTATACCCCAGTAATAACAACATCAATTTTTTGAGGCAACAAAAATTTTCCGGAAAAAAAGTAATCTTTTTATCGACAAATATAAAGTACCTGTGAGCAATTTATGAGTTTCTTCAAATGTTGCGTGTCCGATAAGATAGGACTCATCAAAAACTATCATGCCACATTCATGCCAAAACTGCGCAGTGAAACGAGCCAGATCTGTGCAGCTGTATCGGAAAGCTTTTTCAAAATCCACTTCCGTCTAAAATTTTGATTATTTCAAAAATACTGTTGAAGCAAAAAAAAAAACAAAAATGAAAAACACAGTGAGTGTGCTAAGAATAAAAATTACACAAAAAAAAAGTACGCGGTGAAGGTATTTTCAAAATCAAATATTGCTTATATAAGATTTAAAAAAAAAATGAATTAATTTCAAGAAAACCGAATTGCGCAAATATTACCACAGTGAAAACACGTAAAATATTACCTTCCCAGAGCACAAAATATCTTCTGGCTTCTGATATGGCCTTGAAGAAAAAAGCCTTTCGACGACATTTGCAGTAGCAAATGTAAATACCTGAAAAAAAGTTTATTAATACTCGCATTACTGCCAGCATATCTTTCCGGATAAACACGAGGATTATGAGCGTAGCGATGAAAAGCCTCCTCAAATCATTCAAAAAAAAAAAAAAAAAAAATCAAGGTTGTTTAATACATTTCTGTGGTGAACACGTAATTCATCGAGGCGTTTCAGAAGTGGGCGGTGCTTCGCTCGGATAAAAAGTGGGCGG